TGACAAATTGGACCACTAGGATTCCATCTGGGTGGAGGACCAGTTGGGTAAACCTGAAAAATGAGCAACAAAAGCGAGCAGAAGGCGAAATTCGAAACAGGAGCATAGAAATACTACGCAGAAGTACATTGTAGCGGAAAATTGATCTGAAAATCCCTCCCGATCACCCTTATTAGATTGTATTGACATTTATTTTAACATTTTTACCCTCGCTATGGATGGTGTACCTTTGACCCTCGCCGGTGTAATGTTATTTCCTTGTTTGACTGTCTTATTTGACTTTGCACTCGGTATTTTCCTTTGTATGTTTGACACTTATTATGAATGTTTCACTCTCCTATTATGTGACGCTGGACTGTTGACAAGGTGATGTTGTTTTACTGCGCACGACATTTTGTTTTGGTTCAACTTATGGTTGTGCTGTGATCTGACTGTTTGTCTTTTGACTGCCTACTGGGAACGTTTGTTTGTTGATTTGATTCTTGTAGACAGAGTTTTGATCCCTTTTGTCGGGAATATTCCTACTGACCGACAGGTACTTAACAGTTGTATTTGTTTAACCAGTTTTTACCGTGTAGTACGTATTTGTACCCGAGAACGTTTTGGACTGTATAGTTACCCAACGGCACTGTTGAGGTATTTTTGTAATTTGACATAACTTATTGTTGCTTTGATAGTACCACAGATTTTGTCACTAATCTACTATTGAATTACTACAAACCGTGTTTTGATATTTTGATCCAACCTTTGACTGTGCGTCACTCGCGGAAGTTAGGAAGCTATACAGTAGAACACAGGAACTAGTGAGATTCACGTCATTTGGCACCGCCTAGTTATTTCCCGAGTTCATACCAAGATTATGGGATTCTGGCCACTACATACATCGACCAAGATACATGTAAGTGAATTCATTGTACTGACTACAAAAATTACTTAAAAGGGTAAGCTTATGGGGAGGAAGGTGAAAGTGCATATGAAAGTAGTGGAAACTAAACCGAAGCTGAAAATAATACTATGAAGTAGGGAGAACAGAAGATTTTGGACCAGGTATTCGCCTATGTATGGAAAACCTGTGTACGAAAGTTCAACGAGGTCATGGGCATTTAAGTAAAACTCATGCTTTTTGTCGCAGTGGTAACCACACTTTATGTAGTCATGGAGGAGGGATGTTCATGGTGTTGCCTGTTGAGTGTTATCATACCAGGACTATAGAGACAATATGGTGGTGCATAGTAAGCTGAGCTAGCAGACCTCGAGGATTTTATTTTGGTAACCCCATTCTTTTAACTATTATTTTGCCGTCATAAATACAACAGCCGTATGTTTCATAAAGATGCCGCCATATAGGCAAGGGTAGTTCAAGTTTGTCTCCCTTCCATCATGCCTGCTGGTCAGTTGTCACCATCTTGTCATATTTTTACGTTTTTCAAATTTTTGTACTACGCTCAACAGAGTTGATGGTAACGACGATATTTCCAGTTTACTATCAGCTGAGTTAGACCGTACATACATTATTGACTCAGTCGTCTGTTGGTATGTACCACACATCAGGCAACACTGAAGACAATTATACCTGTACTCATGCCATAGTCAAGCTTGATTTATCACGCAAAACAGCGCAAAGACTTCTATCTTACTACAAAGAGAAAGGGGAACCTACGGATAAAAATGACTCTACATCAAAGTGATACATACTTTACTAATGCGTACTTTACTGACTACACAACATAAGCTAGCGGAATAGCATTCAAATGTCCCGTGCAGTGATGTTAGGGCCCATTGAGGGAAAAGTAATTGGGATTGGTGATAGCCTTACTTTGCACACTTAGAGGTCCTAGTTTGTTTTCATTAGACCAGGGCGTGTACATGGTGACCAACCGAGCGATAAACTCATCATCTGTGAGCAGTTTATTAGGTGAGGAACGAAAGGGAGATAATGAACCCACAGTACGTATTTCCTTGGGAAGTCCATTCCAGGTATGAGAGAACTTATTGAGGAAGACATTTCCTCGCACATTGGTCTTACAATACTCAGTTTTAGCTAACGGTTTACGGTTTCCCATAATGTGAATAGATGTTACAACTATTTTAATTTCCGAGCCATATGAGTGCATTTGTTTACGAAGTAAGTTGTGGTGAAACACAGGATTCTTTCTAAGTCTGCCCCTACACAGTGGTTCCAGTCCTATCACGTTGCATCTGGAGATGTGGTCAATGCTGCAGCCAGCTCCTAGTTTTCTTAATGTAAACTGGCGTTGCACCTGTTCGGTGTATAGTTTGTCGTCTATTCGAAGGCTACTAATGGCAAATGAGCAGTATTCTAGAATTGTTCAGATGCACACTTTGCAGAGTAGAACCCTTGATTCAGTACTATAAAAGTTACGAATGATGCATCCTACGAGTCCGCGTGACTTAGTTTCTCTGTACGCTACCTGCTTGGAGAAATTCAAGTCACTGGAATATCTGAGCCGTAGGTCTGAAAGAGAACTAATTTTTGGTAACTTTTATCCAGATGCTCCAAATATCATGTCAAGGGTACTGTTACCAATGCAGATCCATCCGCATTTGCTGATGTTAAACTGTGGAAGGGTATCAGCACACCAAGAAGAAAGCTTTTCTAGTTCATGTCGAACAGCAGTCGTAGTGTCACCTAAATCATGGCTACAACAAGAGTAAACGACTTTTAGGTCATCGGCATATAGAAAGGCGTCACATGTTGCAAAGCATTCGCAAACACCGTTAATGTAGGTAACAGGCCCAAGAACGCTACATCGCACAACTCCACTCGCGATGTATCTTGGAGTAGACAGAGCTGAATTGATTTTTGTTACTTGGGTACGATCACTGGGAAATGACTAGCCAGCTTAGCAATGGGTTGCTAATACCTAATGAGTTTAACTTTTCGAATAGTATATTATGCGAAGCCGTGTCAAACGCCTTCGATATATAGAAGTACAGAACAAGAACTATCTTGCGTGCCTCACAACTACTGGTAATGAGGTTGAAAAAGTGGAAATGACATGTAATGCATGATCTGTTCTTCATAAAAGCGTGCTGTGACTTTGTCATAAAATCTTCTGCAAGTAGGTGTTCAGACAAACTATCTTTACAACTTTCTCCACAATTCGCGATAGGACTGGGGTTACATTGATGGGTCTGTAGTTGATGACACTCGCCTTGTCCACAGATTTGTAGTATGGAATTACAAAACTAGTTTTCCATTCAGTAGGGTGCGTCGCATTTTCCATCGAAAGAGTGAACAACTTAAGCAGAATCAAGGGAAGGCCCTGTCCACTATTTCTTAGGGCTATTGAATCGAGGGCGTCTATTCCCGCTTCTTTTGTAGGTCGTAGACTTTTGGTGGCTTCAGCTATATTTTTGCAAGTAAATTCAACAGTCACAAGAAGGTTGCTGGAGAGTGGCATGCTACTGATGGGTGTATACCTCTCACAACTGAAATTCCCAAGCCAGTCACTAAATAGTTCACAACTCGTGACTGGGTTGCCGTAGACTTCCTCGTCTGAAAGATCTAGGACTCTACTCTCTTAGCCACTGTAGATTACGTGGCAACCTGATAACGGCTTACGAAAATAATAAGTAACCCAGGTCATCCGAACGGTAAAATCCAACCGAACTGCCACCATGGCGATCCTCATGGTAACCCAAGTGGAGTCGCCCATCAGAGGGCGAAAACACGTGTGCGGTCACACTTCTTCTCTCTGCCAGTTTGTGGCCACTGGAACGCATTGCCTGCCGACACTGCCACTGCTCCGTCTGTTGACAGCTTCAAGAGGACGTTGGACAGTCACACGGCGACGCACGGTCTGCTCTCGTCCAGCTAGGATCCAGACCAGGCTGACGTGACCTACTAACTCACCACAACCAACTCGTCACCGAATACTTTGTAACATCACCGTCACTGGGATCCTGGCTCAACCTTATACTCCCCCGTGGACGTCCCCTCAGTTACTGTCACCTACTAATAGGATTACTAGCTCCATTCCCATTCGTTTCACGATGTTACTTACTGCTCTTCCTACTGACTTTACGTTTTCTTTTGCCTAATCGTCTTTTTCTCTCTTTCTTTCCATTTGTTCTTCTTGCACTTTCTCTCTCTGGACATATTTTCATCCCCTTTTACAAACAGTCCAACCAATTGTCTGCTGACACGACAATTGAGGAACCCATCCGCGCCACGGTCCTTGGAAAAAAACAACAAACAAACAGTAACACTCCCTACAAATTCAACCGACACCCAGCCGCCTGTTGGGCTAGCTAGAGTTACGGCAGTCGGAATCCACTGGAGACCTGCAACTGTTCCACAAGACCCGGAAGCAAGCGTGAAGAAATCAACTGGTTTAGACTAGCTCATAAAAAGATATTGGACCTCGCACAGTCTACCACGGACATACTCATGGAGTCACTATCCTGATTAGCCCACTCTCACCTCCTCTTACCTACCATTCACTATCTCGCTCCTTAATACACCCACATTACCTACTAATTGTTTTCTGGGAAACAGACCCGTACTACCTACTTTTACCTTAGGGGCAGCTTCCACATATTTTTCTCTCTCTTTCATTGCTCTTCCCCACCCTCTTTTTCCCTCATCTTTTTTTCATTTTTTCATCCTCCAACACTACCTTACTATTATCTTTCGGGTACCTATGTAGACTGGAGGCACGACAGTCCCCTAACCCTCCCAGCAACCTGTAGCTCCTCAGTCTTTCAACAAATTGCAATTTACTAACCCACAAAACATCCACCCCGTCGAAGCTAAAAGGAAGAAAGCAGAAGGGATTTCCTCCTCCGTCGCAGGAGTGAACCAAACAACTCAAACCCACCCCTAGAAACTAGACGTGAGAGGTCAAAAAGTATCAGTTCTCTACACTTGCACTATCAATATTAGACATTGGAAACCGTTCAAGTTTGACTTTGTTTGAAGCACTTTCTGGTAGGTTTCTTGGAACACTTGCGTTACAGCATTACGTGTACGCATCATGGGTCTGACGATATCGTCTATATTCCAGAGACTATTCGGAAAGAAGTGTATGAGAATTCTAATGAGTAAGTAATACATCCTCTTATTCTTGCCATCATGATGTTAATAAGCTTCAATAATATCACGAAATATGCTAGAAGGAGTAAAATATTTATCAAAGTTTGAGGTAGAGTAAATTTAATCGTAACTGCTGCCATAATAAGCTAGTTGACTTACACATTAGTTGAATAATGCCTCATCATACTCTACGTGCCCATAAAGGAGAATAATGCATACTTTGGGCTTACCAACAACGCACAGTTGTGATTATTTGTTTGGTTTTTTTGCAGTCAACATGTTCTAAGAAGCTTCACCGGCTGAAACAGTAAGCGTCAGACATTTATCGCAAACTGATAGACACTAGTGACCTCTGCATGTGTGAAACGGCTGTATATCCATTATTAAAAGGTGCCAGTCGGTCTTCATGAAGACTGCAGGGATGAAGATAGTAATTAGTTTGAACTGTATCGTTCCTTCCAAGTGCTCTAAACTGAAATCTTAAGTCATGCATAAGTGTGCAGCTACTCCTGTCTCATAAAGATCAAAAAGGAGGAAATAAATCGAGTAAAGAGCAAATAAGGGGGGACTTCAAAGAGACATTCATGGGGAAATGCAACTGTTTTCTCCTTTTTCCTCTCTTTTGCTCCCTGAAGTCGCTTTCTTCACTCAGCCTATACGTTTACTTGTCTGCCTCTCCCATTGATTTCGCATCATTTCCCCTTTATTTGTCGACTCATCCCCTTGAATTCTCCTTTGTTTTCCACCCCCCCCCCCTTTACTAGACTGGGGTTCAAAGCGTTTACTATTCGCTTTAAGGATTTGTATGCTTCATCGAATTAAGCGATGTAGGTCAAATTTGATGACTAACAACCGATTGCTCTCAGGTCTCCATGAGGGTTGCGTGTTTCACGTATCTCGTCCGGCTATTCATTCATTCTCATAGTGACATTACGGACCACCATTCTAAACTTAAATGCCAAACCATTGGGTCACGAATCAAAACTTTGTTGTTGCTACTGTTGGTTTAACTAGGCTACCGCACATACTCACACACTGTGTGGCTCACTTCATACCACGTCAACTTTTACCTGTACTGTGAAGTTCTGTTTGGTATCGAACTCATTATTTTATTATCATGGAGTTAAAGTCTGAAAAGGTAGTATTTTTATATATGGAGCCAAATATGTCAATGCGTGTGTTCGGCTCCTTTTCTATTTCCAACTATGTTATCTCGCATACATTTTAGGTATCTATATTCGTTACCGTAGGCTTATGATATGTCTTTATGGCGTAAATAGCTTCCCCCCTATAATCTGTGGCGTGTCTGAGACTCCTGAGAGTTAGGCTAAGCTTGTTTTCAGCATAAGCTTTAATCATGATGGTCATGAGAATGGCATGAATGTTGTCACGCGAGCTTGGGAGCTCTGTAGAAAACAATATCCGAGCATCATGTGAACCCGATGCGCGTTGATAAATAGCGAAAGATAAATAGCACTGAGTTATGTCCAGAAAGTTAGATTCGTGAGTTGTACCAGATACAGATAGCTTAAGTAATGAATGACATTCTGTGCCAGCTTATGCACATCTCAATTACAGGCAAAGATGAAACAACTTACATCGTTACGGTTTATTCCACCGCAAATTGGACATGGTAGGCGTGAACAAAAAAGAATATTGCAGAGTAAAGGTACTGAGGTCGGTGAAGGAATGAAAACAAAACATTCTTGAGACCAGGCCTAACGTCCCACTATACCATGTCACATTAGTTAGGTCCGGTCTGTTCCACTGTATGGCTGTGAAACGTAGCCATTGAAAGTGGAAGATGTAAGAAGGCGACTTCTGGTGCTTGACCACCGTTGCCTTCGTAGTGTGTAGACTGTATTCCGTGGTGTCACCACATGAGTAACGCACATGTCAGGTTTAGAGTTTTAGGGAGAAGAGGTAAGTCGGTTGACGAGGTTATGAGCCTTCATAGATTGAGATGGTTGGGACACGTACTACGTATGCCTAGTCACCGATTGCCTCGTCACAAAATGTTGGCTGAAGTAGGTCCAGACTGGAAAAAGGCTCGAGGTGGCCAGACTAAAACATGGCACAAATGCATGAAGTCTCTGACCGTTGGTTTGAGCCATGTGTGGTGATGCGGACTAGGTGGTTGGGGTCCGCAGGACAATAGGAACCAGTGGTTGGAGACTAACTCTAGGTGATATGGCTCAGAACCGATGTCAGTGGTGCAGATCTGTTCCCATACACATTATCCTCATCTTAACGACACTATATAGAATCTCACCATTTTCTCATTCTTCCTTTCTTTCTCTCTTTTCGTACCTTGTATTTCTTCTGACTGAATTCTCTTATCTTCATCTTGTGCCTCACTGCCTTGTTTACTTGATGTACTGATATGAGGTGTGGCAAGTTGGACCGTTACGCAGTAATGCCTGGTCCTAGGTTGACTTGGATGGATGGATGGCATTAGTTAGTGAAGTTTGGATTGATGCCAAAGTTAGTTGATAGTCTACATTCAGCTGATTAACCGTCACATCATAACTTCCAATCCATCCATAAACCTTGTTTTCTTAAGGTAAGAATAACTTTAGGAGCCTTAATATTGGCGATAATCAGCAATATACAACGCAGCATAAAAGTTTGCCAGTTGTAGATTCATAAAGTACTTTAACCTGAGATAAAAAAATAAGGGAATACATGCCTGCTATTATGATCAATTATGAACCGTATCATGAATCGTCTCTAACCACTGATGTGTGAGGTATCGTTGACTTTAACGAGTATGCCTTCAAGGTTTTTAACCAACTGAATTGAATCGATTCAAAATGTCCTCAGCAACCTTATGCAGATTCATGCTGTAGGCAGTGAGGGCTAATGATACTTAGTTACCGAAACCTCGGTAGATGAAGCGGGATTCGAAACCGTGACCCGTAAGTAGGTTACTGCATCTTACCTCTGAGTAGGATCTTCCTTGTAATGCAGTGTGATATGAATCATAGTCAATCTCCCTGATTCTTGCAAACTTGGTCGGAAATGGTCTTTTTACGGAAACCAAACTGGGATTTTCTCGAGGTATTCAGAAGGCTCCATGCTTGCGTACTCTATGTTGGTAACCCAGATGATCAATCTCCAGAAACCCAAAGGTGAAGAGGAATGTCCCTGAAACAGACCGACAGTTGTCATCCCAGATGACACTTCATCGTAAATTCTTAGTAACCTAATGTAATTTCAACATTTACTCAGAAGTTAAACATTTCTCTATTGACGAAGTATAATGCCGCCTTGAAGTCAAGGAATGTAGCGAGTGTATGGTGACCATTAGCGCTTCTCTGTCGTTAAACTTAACTTTTCCAAAGAGATTACCCTTCATCCTTTGTACCCCAGTAAGTCCCTCCATCTGGCCATTAGTTCGTAGTCGTCATCCGTTTGGATGGGTGGTGTAATTGCTCGGTTCTACTATTTTTCGCTATTTTAGGCCGAAAACGACCCTTTCAACAAGTTGTAAAAATGATGTATGTATTCCAATCAGATTACAGCTATACAACGGGTAAGTATAGTGTGACTAGACCAGTTGGACTGTTCCTCAGAATTTTCTACAGAATATTCCCACCATTTATTTTAACAGCTTGTCAAGGACCAGTCTTTCTCAGTATTAATTTCACTAACCATTTCCATCTAATGAGGCTAGACACAAACTGACTGCTACCTATTAGGGTACTAGAGAAGGCAGGCCAGCAAGTCGATTGATAATGTTGTCTACCTTAGTCAACTGAGATCGCTTGGACATGTACTACGTATACTGAGCCAACACGTATGTCGGCATGCCATGCTACAAGAAATTGGGTTAGGCTGGAAGAGAGTTTAGGGTGACCAGACCAAGATGTTGCACAGGTCGATGAAGTTCCTGACTGTTGGTCTGAGGCATGTGCCTAGTTAGGGTCTCCGAGACGAATGGAATCGGTGGTTGATGACGTTTAATGACATGGCTGAAAATCGGTCACGAGGGCATAGAAATTTTTACTCATGGACGTCCTCTAACGCTTAAATATTTCTACTCACGTTTGTTTTCAAATGTTTCTTCTTCAGGCAACTTTGTGTACTTTGATATAAGCATTCTTCTATCTACTTGTTCTTTGTGTGTAACTAACTGACAAGATCAACATAGAACCTTGTACAAGAGTGGATCGGCTCAAGTTGCCACACTTCACAAATACACAAAGGACTGGTGTATAGAAAAAGACTGACAGACAAAGTTGGATGAGAGAATAAATAATCCGAAGATAAAGGTTGCCGTGAATATTTAAGCTGTAGAACATGTCAAAGAGTGAACATATCCTCACTCTTAACATCCATCTTCCACCATATCGTCAACAGTTCTTAACCCCTGATTCTTTTCATCTCGGGGAACTCAAACAGTCAGTCTACATTTACATCATCCAAATCAAGCCAACAACCAGATACTTCATTGGCAGGTGCCAGGTTATGGTCTCTCCACCCTGAACCCTTTTCTATCCTAATCCACCTTCTAGTAAAACATATCGAGGTAGATGGTGAGTCGGCATGCGCAGCACATGTCGAACCTACCTCAGTCGACTGAGGTTCACAACCTTATCGATCAGTTTGCTGTCCTGACGTAGTTTCCTATTTTAAATGATGATAGACTTGTATGTGAGGTTCTCATCATTATCAATATCAGCATAGGACCGGACATTACTACGTAACGGTCCAACTTGCCACACCTCATATCAGTACATCAAGTAAACAAGGCAGTGAGGCACAAGATGAAGATAAGAGAATTCAGTCAGAAGAAATACAAGGTACGAAAAGAGAGAAAGAAAGGAAGAATGAGAAAATGGTGAGATTCTATATAGTGTCGTTAAGATGAGGATAATGTGTATGGGAACAGATCTGCACCACTGACATCGGTTCTGAGCCATATCACCTAGAGTTAGTCTCCAACCACTGGTTCCTATTGTCCTGCGGACCTCTACCACCTAGTCTGCATCACCCCACATGGCTCAAACCAATGGTCAGAGACTTCATACATTGGTGCCATGTTTTAGTCTGGCCACCTCGGGACTTCTTTCAGCCTGGACCTACTTCAGCCAACATTTTGTGACGAGGCAATCGGTGACTAGGCATACGTAGTACGTGTCCCAACCATCTCAATCTATGAAGGCTCATAACCTCGTCAACCGACTTACCTCTTCTCCCTAAACTCTAAACCTGACATGTGCGTTACTCATGTGGTGACACCACGGAATACAGTCTACACACTACGAAGGCAACGGTGGTCAAGCACCAGAAGTCGCCTTCTTACATCTTCCACTTTCAATGGCTACGTTTCACAGCTATATAGAAGAACAGAGTAGACTACTGTGCAGTGTACGCGACCCTTAATAGACAAACGGATATCACGGCGTCGCCATAGGTGGCGTAAGTTGGCAAACGCCAATCGAGCCTTTTGTATCGGTGCAGAGATTTCATCGGCGACTGACCCACCAGGGGTGATCCTACTACCCAAGTAAGTGAAGTTGTCGACACACTCAGTCACTACACTCTCTCTTGTTACCCGCGGTACTGCTGAAGACCAATCCTGGAGCAACAATTTGCATTTGGGTGGTGAAAATCGCATCCCAAACATTCTCAAATTCCCACTCAAAGTGTTCAGAAGACTCTGCATCTTGTCAGCGTCTTCACTTAATAGGACTATTTCATCTGCCTATTCTAGATCTAACGAAAATTATCCTCCGATTGGCTCAACATCTGTGTAGTCAGGTGACGAGAGGGAGACTTCCATAAGAATATCTGTGATGAAATTGAATAAGAATGGAGACAGTGGGCACCCTTACCGGACACCACTCGATGAGCACAGCTCCCTGGACATCTCATCATAGGCTCTAACATGCCCACAAGTGTTCGAGTAGAGAGCTTTCAATAAGGTGATGTACTTACTAGGTACGCCTTTCAGTGAGAGACATTGCTATAAGACTACGCGATCAACGGAGTTAAATGCCGCTTTCGGGTCGAGAAACATAGCTGGTGTCGGGCGTCTGTAAGCGTGTCTATGTTCCAGGACCTGGCGCAGCGTGAATATTTGGTCGTTGATTTTATCAGTCAGGGTTAGTTGTCAGCATTTCTCATCTGATTACAATGACAACAATCTGTTATGTTTTGTTTTTTTTAATTTTAAATATTTCCTAGTGATAGTACTTTATTTGCATAGTGTTTAACCGTAATGTACATTTTTAAAGTACTAACCAAATCATTACCTTTTATTTCTACAGTTGGACTTGATGCAGCAGGCAAAACTACAATATTATACAAGCTTAAGTTGGGTGAAGTTGTTACAACTATTCCTACCATTGGTTTCAATGTAGAAACTGTTGAGTATAAAAATATCAGTTTTACTGTATGGGATGTAGGTGGACAAGATAAAATTCGACGATTATGGAGACATTATTTCCAAAATACACAGGTAAATGTTTTACATTTTCACCTTCAAAAATACATCTCTTTTTCTTCTTCTTCAGGGTCTTATATTTGTTGTAGACAGCAATGATCGTGATCGTATTGGAGAGTCAGCGGATGAGTTGAATAAAATGCTCTCAGAAGATGAACTACGTGATGTTGTGATACTTGTTTTTGCTAATAAACAAGATTTACCAAATGCAATGTCTATAGCAGAAGTTTCAGAGAAGTTACGTTTACGTGAAATTCGTAATCGACCTGTAAGTTACACAGTGAACTTTCATTATTATTACTACTATGCATCTCCCTTTATTTTGGATAAGTTAAGCGTATTTCATGGTAAATGGATGATGATGTATAATCACAATGAAGTAGGAGAAATTAATTTCTGACATTTCGTGATTTTGTGGGGATCGTTTCTTCCGATAAGAACTAAACCCATCCGGGGACATCACCTGCCAGGCCAGGCACTCAAGTGGAACCCAAATGGGAAACGACGAGTTGGGCGTCCGAGGCGGGGGTGACATGGAAAAGATCGTGTGAGGAAGAAATGAGAGCTTCTGGACAGTCGTGGAGCCAGGTTGAAAAGATTGCAGAGAACAGAGTGGAATGAAGATGTGCTAGTGAAGCCTATGTTCCACTAGGAACCCAAGGGATGAATAATAATAATAATAATAATAATAATAATAATAATGATCGGTTAAATAGTAAATGTTGGCAAATCAGGTCACATTGTCTATACATGATAATAATAATAATAATAATAATAATAATAATAATAATAATAATAATAATAATATGAACATTGTTATGTTGGTCAGGGAGCGTTCAAATCTGTCTTTGGTATCCATCATTAGTCTGAAGTTTGAGATGGTGCGAATATGATAAGCCCCAACACTTGGAGAAAGCCGTGGGTAACTTGAAACGAGGAAGGGCAGCAGGACCAGACGGACTAACTCTTGGTGTATGTGAGGTTGGCGGTAGAGTGCTCTTAATCAGGTTAGCGGAAGTGTTGACTAGTATGTGTGAATCAAATATGATCCCCTCTGACTGGTCTAAATCACTGATTATCCTAGTCTCCTAGAAAAGCGAGAAGTAATCTTGTAATAACTACAGAGGAATCAGCCTGAAAAATATAGTATCCAGGTTCGATAATCATTACATCATCATCATTATCAACATAGGACCAGGCATTACTGCGTAACGGTCCGAGTTGCCACACCTCATATCAGCACATCAAGTAAAAAGGTAGTGAGGTGAAGGATGAAGATAAGTGAATGCAGTCAAAAGAAATATAAAGTACGAGAAGAAAGGAAAGAGGAGTGACAAAATAGTGAGATTCGGTATAGCGTTGTTAAGATGAGGATAATGTGTGTATACATCTGCGCCACTGACTTCGGTTCTGAGCCATATCACCTAGGGTCTCCAACCACTGGTTCCTCTTGTCCCGTGGACCCCAACCACCTAGTCTGCATCGTCCTACATGGCTTAAACCAACAGTCAGAGACTTCATACATTGGTGCCATGTTTTAGTCTGGCCACCTCGGGCCTTTTTCCAGCCTGAACCCACCTCAGCCAACATTGTGTGACTAGGCAATCGGTGACTAGGCATACGTAGTACGTGTCCCAACCATCTCAGTCGATGAAGGTTCACAACCTCGTCGACTGACTTACCTCTTCTCCCTAAAACTCTACACCTAACTTCTGCATTACTCACATGGTGACACCACGATGAGATTTCTGCACGGATACAAAAGGCTCGATTGGCTTTTGCCAATTTGCGCCACCTATGGCGCCGCCGTGATATTCGTTTGTCTATTAAGGGTCGCGTGTACTGCACAGCAGTCCGCTCTGTTCTACTGTATGGCTGTGAAACATGGCCATTGAAAGTGGAAGACATGAGAAGGTTACAGGTATTTGACCACCGTTGCCTTCGTAGTATAGGACGTATTCCGTGGTGTCACCACGTGAGTAATGCAGAAGTTAGGTGTAGAGTTTTAGGGAGAAGAGGTAAGTCAGTCGACGAGGTTGTGAACCTTCATCGACTGAGATGGTTGGGACACGTACTACGTATGCCTAGTCACCGATTGCCTCTTCACACAATGTTGGCTGAGGTGGGTTCAGGCTGGAAAAAGGCCCGAGGTGGCCAGACTAAAACATGGCACCAATGTATGAAGTCTCTGACTGTTGGTTTAAGCCATGTAGGACGATGCAGACTAGGTGGTTGGGGTCCACGGGACAAGAGGAACCAGTGGTTGGAGACCCTAGGTGATATGGCTCAGAACCGAAGTCAGTGGCGCAGATGTATACACACATTATCCTCATCTTAACAACGCTATACCGAATCTCACTATTTTGTCACTCCTCTTTCCTTTCTTCTCATACTTTATATTTCTTTTGACTGCATTCACTTATCTTCATCCTTCACCTCACTACCTTTTTACTTGATGTGCTGATATGAGGTGTGGCAACTCGGACCGTGAGGCAGTAATGCCTGGTCCTATGTTGATAATGATGATGATGATGACCACGGAATACAGTCTACACACTACGAAGGCAACGGTGGTCAAGCACCAGAAGTCGCCTTCTCACATCTTCCACTTTCAATGGCCATGTTTCACAGCCATATAGTAGAACAGAGCGGACTGCTGTGCAGTACACGCGACCCTTAATAGACAAACGAATATCACGGCGGCGCCATAGGTGGCGCAAATTGGCAAAAGCCAATCGAGCCTTTTGTATCCGTGCAGAAATCTCATCGGCAACTAACCCACCGGGTTGATCCTACTTCCCAGGTAAGTGAAGTGGTCAACACACTCAACCACTTCACTCTCTATTGTTAACCGCGGTACCGCTGAAGACCAGTCCTGGAGCAAAAATTTGCATTTGGGTGGTGAAAATCGCATCCCAAACATTCTCAAATTCCCACTCAAAGTGTTCAGAAGACTCTGCATCTTGTCAGCGTCTTCACCTAACAGGACTATGTCATCTGCATATTCTAGATCTAAGGAAAATTCACCTGTGATCGGTCAACGTCTTTGTAATTAGGTGACGAGAGGGAAACCTCCATAAGAATATCTATGATAAAATTAAATAAGAATGGGGATAGTGGGCATCCTTGACGGACACCACTTGATGAGTATAGCTCCCTGGACAACTCACCATAGGCTCTAACATGCCCACAAGTGTTCGAGTAGAGAGCTTTCAATAAGGTGATGTACTTACTAGGCACGCCTTTCAGTGACAGACACTGCCATAAGACTTCTCGATCAACGGAGTCAAATGCCGCCTTCAGGTCGAGAAATACAGCTATTGTCGGGCGTCTGTAAGCATGCCTATGTTCCAGGACCTGGCGCAGTGTGAATATTTGGTCGATACATCCACGGCCAGGTCTAAAGCCTGCCTGGTTTTCTCGGGCTTGCTGTTCCCGAGCTCCACTCAGGCGTCGGAGAATTATAGAACTTAGGATCTTAGACACTATGTTTGTCAGGCTGATTCCTCTGTGGTTATCACAAGAGGACTTCTCGCCTTTCTTGAAGACTGGGATGATGAGTGACTTAGACCAGTCGGAGGGGATCGTATTTGATTCCCATATACTGGCTAACACTTCCGTTAGCCTGACTAAGAGAACTCTACCACCATTCTTGTATACCTCAGCAGGTAGTCCGTCTGGTCCTGCTGCCCTTCCCCGTTTCAGGCTACCTACCGCTTTCTCAACTTCTTCTAGTGTTGGGGGACCTGTCTCTATGTCCCATTCAGGGTCCGACTGGATAGCGGGCAGCGCAATGGTGGCTGGAGGCCAGTTAAACTGTTCCTCAAAGTGTTCTGCCCATCGTCCCAGTCGCCTTCCCTGCGAGTGAATCGCCGATCCGTCCTTCTCCGCTATAACCTCACTAACTGTTGTTGACCATTTCCCCCCAGTCTCCTTAATAAGTCTAAATAACTGTCTACTGTTACCGATCGCCGCTGCCTTTTCCATCTCTTTAGCCTTTGCTGCCCACCACTGTTCACGATCGTTGCGCAGACTTTTCGTCAGTTTATTTTTAAGTTGCGCTCGCTCTTCATTGTACTCAGAGCCTGCAGGGATGCATTCACGTGCATCCATTAGTTTGGAAGAAGCTGCTGATATCCACTGGCTCTTTTTAGCCATTATCTTGGAGTCGGCTACAGTCTCCAGTGCTGCTTTTACAGTAGACTGAAGATGGCACCAAGCTTCTTCTGGATGAGTGACAGTCTTTTGTTCCGATAACTGCCTAGCCAACTTCTCACTGAACACGGCTTTGGTGTTTTCGTTGTCCAGCAGAACTCGTAGTGGTTTTGTTGCCAAATTTTTTCTACGTCCATTGAGACGCAGGCATATACGTGCTCGGACCAACGCATGATCGCTGTCCAAACACGTACTCCAGAAGGAGCGGCAGTCTTCCACCGATCCTCTCCAGCGATGACTAATAGCAATGTGGTCTATCTGTGTCCATCGCTGAGTCGAGCTCGGTGGACGCCAGGTCAGACAGTGCCTTTCTTTATGTCTGAAATTTGTGCTGGCTAAAAATAGGCGGTTATCTGAGCATAGTTGTAATAGGCGATCACCGTTATCTGTACGTTCAGCTGGGATTCCGAAAGTGCCACCTAAGTGCCTTTCTGCCTCACTCAGTCTACCCACCTGTGCGTTGAGGTCACCTGCAACAACCACTACGTCCGAACGTTTGGCTTTCGAGAGGAGGTTAGACAGTTTATGGTAGAACTCGTCCTTCACTTCATCCGAACTACAGTCAGTGGGTGCGTAAGCAGAGATTACAAAGAGACAACGGCGAGTCTCACTATTCCTTTTAGTTCTCACTGTGCCGTTCAGCCTCATAGCGCAGAGGCGACTATCAACTGGGATCCAGTCTAGTAGTGAGTTTTCTGCCCTGGTGCTTAATGCTATACCTACACCTGCAAGACCACGAGAGCTAGCTATCGAATCTCCAGAAACTCGAAGGGTGAATTTTGCAGATTCACCAGATTGGTCAGGAGAGGTCAGGTGAATAACCACACTTGGGTCCTGTATGCGTGTCTCACAAACACAGCACACATCCATGCCCGAGTTGCTAGAGTCTTTGCCAACGAAGCCTGTTGGCCAATTTGACGGAGGGTGCGGACATTGAAGGCTCCAATATGTAATTTGGAGCGTGGTTTAAGGAGACCAGGGATGCTGTTCTGTGGACTCAGATCGTTGTCGAAGGCTGCAGAGGTAGGAGAAATTGAAGATGATGCAGCATCATTAATTAAGAGACGTGAAGGAAGATTAGAAGGTAATGATGGAGGAGGAGGATAGCAGTCAGAAGAAACTTGGGTGCTGACAGAGTTGTGAGGGCGGTTGACACTTCCCGGCTGCCCACACCGTGGAAGGCTATTTCTTCTTAAGGTACCTGAAAGAGATTTGTGTGACCGCAGAGCCCATCGGACATCTGCTTGAGGCCTGTCACACCCAGCCTTTTGAGTATGATTATTTTGAATTTTTGTATTTTTGGGGCCGGATGATCGAAAGGAAACGACAAGTGAACCAACACCGCCGGCCCGGCAGACCGTGGGGCGTGGTGGAGTGTGTTATTTTTGGGGCCGACCTTTTCTAACCCCCCCTTCCACTGAGAAGGCAGCATCAGCTTGGCACTGCTGGTCATCCAAGGGAAACACCTTACTGCTGTCACACCCCATCCAGCTAGCAGCAGTACGACTTCGCCCTCAGACCCCCATCATAGTGTAGCAATTTACACTATAACGGTAACTGCTTTTCGTCTAACCACTACCCAACAGACCTTTCTGGTATGGTAGGACCTCGAGGGAACAAGCGTTCCACCAGCATAGCTCGTTGGGTCATTGTGATATGCAAGCCCGACCACCACGTCAAGGTAGCAGCTATCGGTCGGCATAATCATTACATGCCTAACTGGCGCTTGAGAATAGGAAGCCGCGGGTGTATTGACCAATTACTCACACTGCTGCAGGTTCTGGAACTCAGATACGCTTACTGGCGCCCTACAAAAGCTGTATTTCTCGACCTGAAAACGGCATTCGACTCCGTTGATCGAGAAGTCTTATAGCAATGTCTCTCACTGAAAGGCGTACCTAGTAAGTACATCACCTTATTAAAAGCTCTCTACTTGAACACTTGTGGGCATGTTAGAGCCTATGATGAGATATCCAGGGAGCTGTGCTCATCGAGTGGTGTCCGTTAAGGGTGCCCACTGTCTCCATTCTTATTCAATTTCATCACAGATATTCTTATAGAAGTCTCCCTCTCGTCACCTGACTACACAGATGTTGACCTAATCATTATCGTGTATAGACAATGTGATCTGACTTGCCAACAATTACTATTTAACCAATCAATAACTTGTACAGGGTTAATTCTCATCGGAAGAAACGATTTCCATAAAGTGACGAAATGTCAGAATTGTATTGTTTTTCTACTTCATTGAGATTATGAAAACTTGGTATGTTTTTTGTAGGTTGTACATATTTTAATGGGTTTTTCCCAGATGTATTGTACGTATGTGGCACCGTGGTGATATCCGATTGTCTATTAAGGGTCGTGTTTACTGCACAGCTGTCCGCTGTGTTCTACTGTATGGCTGTGAAACATGGCCATTGAAGGTGGAAGACATGAGAAGGCTTCAAGTGTTTGATCACCGTTGCCTTCGTAGCATAGACCGTATTGTGTGATGTGATTAACGCAGAAGTCATGCGTAGAGTTTTAGGGAGGGAGAAGAAGTAAGTCAGTTGACGAGGTTGTGAACCTTCAGTGACTGAGATAGTTGGGACATGTGTTACGTATGGGTAGTCGCTGTCAGCCTGGTAACACAATGTTGGTGGAAGTAGGTTGAGACCAGAAAAGTGCTGGAGGCGACCAGACTATCAATGAATGAAGTGTTTGACTGTTTGTTTGTGCATGTTGGACTATGCATACCGGATGGTTGACGGCTCTAGTTGTTACGCCTGAGAACTGATATCAGTGATGCAGATGTATACACACATTATCGTCATCTTAAGTATCCTGAATCGCTTTTTCTGTTTTACTGCTTTTTACTTAATGTACTAATATTAGGTGTGGGTACTTGGAGTGTGTTACTCTGTAATGCCTGGTTGATTTCGTTGAATGACTGAGAGGTATGTCTGAGTAGGCGGCGGTGGTTCGGCTATGCGTACCACGTGTTCATTCATATATGTGTACGATAGGAACGACGTTTCTTCTTTCGCCAAATTTAGTCTTCCAAGTTGTTGTTCATCGTAGGCTGAGATCAGTTGGAGGAACAAAGGAAACCTGGGAGTACTGGACAGCTGTTTCGTCCTGGTCCGGGACTCCTCAGCAGTGCGAACCCGCGACCTCGCCAGGGATCGATGAATAACAACTTAAAAATCAATTGAACTGGTGCCATTTGTGACTAGCTCCGAGGGGGGTATTCCCGAGGTTCCAATGAGAAGTTGTGACCGGTGGTGGTGGTGGTGTGGGGGGGGGGGGGGGAGCAAAGCCTGGTGGCCTGATGGACAGTTGCTCAACGATGACATTGGGTGGCGGTTGCACTATATCGTGAGCTAACAGAAGTTAAAAATATGGATGCTTAGATTATGACCCTGTGGCTGAGTGGTAACGTGCTGGCCACGGAACCTAAAGATCGCGGGGTCGACTGTCCACTGCTCTCAGGTTTCCTTTGTTCCTCCAACTGATGTCAGTCTGCGATGAATAAAAACTTGAAATATTTTCAAAATCCCTACAACTCTCTCAAAATCTAGTCTTGTCGACTGAAAGAAGACACAAGTAGTCAGGCAGTTGGTCAGTCACCTTCACTTGAAATGTAATCGTGTGAACAGGTTATTGTGTTTTAGTGTTTATTCCATATTAATACTGGTTTTTTAATCTTATATAGTGTCATATACAGTCAGCTTGTGCTACTCAAGGTCAAGGACTTTTTGAAGGTTTGGACTGGTTATCCAATGAACTATCTAAACGAACCTAGGATGTGACATCTTATCTCTGTCTCTCCAACCCTATTTTTCTTCTATTCCGGTTGTTTGTTTGTTTGTTTGTTGTTTTTTTAATCAAGAAAAAAACAACCCACTATTATTATTTTGTTTTGCACATAATGAATGGTGGTGGTTGGTGATGTCACTACTGTTCTGTAAAAAAAGCGGAAAAAGCAATAATTGATGCATATTTTTGTCTCCAACTGCCTTCTCCTTAGATTATATTTCTTTTTCGTTTACTATTTTCCTTCCTTTTTTCCTTTTTCATGTTGTTATGCCTGACGAAAACGATGTTATGTACGTGTGTTTGTGTGTGTATAAGGAATTGGTCCATTGTCTTTATACTTTGTATTCCCAGTGCCCTATTGTTGATATTGGCCTAATTGTTTGTTATGGGAGAGGGGGGGGTCGGTTTTTGCTTATAATCATTACCATTTCTATTACGTGCTTACTATTTTTGTCGACATTTTGATGATAATTATCACTTGTGTAAACTTTTCATTTTTCTATGATAATATATGCATTCATATGTATTGCGTAGGGGGTTTCTGTTTGCTGTGGTGTGTTTACCTTCGGGAGTGTATTACGTCTACTATTGCGCCTCCCCTTTCTCCTTGTGTTATTGACTCGCCTTTCTGTAAGCTAGTGATGTGAATGGATTGTGTTTTACTGAGAGACTGTTCACTGTAATTAGCAATGATGTGTAATAGTTATCTCATTATGAAAACCCTCTTTTAATTTGATTAACGCGTTTTCTACGACACCTGAAGTGTGAGCATACTACGGAGGAGACGCATACAACTTGATTCCCCACATCTCAATAAATGGAGTGGAGTTTGAACCCATGATCTACTTAGTGAACCATAGTTCTACAAAGCATCTTAACCTTTTCAATTATCTGCTTGGCTAATTAATAATGTTTAGATGGAGTTGTTGTGTGTGTTGACGGTATTTCTGAACATACTTAACGCTTTACGACTGTTATTTGGTGTTTAGATCACTGTGAACTGACTGACGCAGTTCATACGTCGATGTGAGTGATTTTTAATCACTCATACTGTTCAGCAGCATGTTTCGTTAATTCATATCACACCTTGTAATCGTGGCTGGAGTGGTGGTTTCCGACAGGATGCGTATTGACAACAGAGTTTTGCAGTCTAGAAGCTACACTTGGAACCTCGCACACAGGTCCAAGTTGCCACACTTCGCAGTAGTTCACAAAAAACAGGTAGGTTAAAAAAGAGCATCGTATGCGCAGTACATGTCAAAGCCACGTCAGTCGACTAAGGTTCAAAACCTCATCAATCAACTCGCCTATCTTGTCTAGTACCCTTCATCTGACCACAGCATTGCTCACACAGTGATTCCAACATAAATGAGCAATGATACGAAGACATCTGTGGTCAAAACCGTCTAACTTCTTCGTATTGCCAATTCACTTGGTAACTCGCCACAGGTCCTGACACGGCTTTGTGAGTTCGAGTACAAAATCTAGGTAAGGGTTATGTACTTGCTCGATACTCCCTTCACAATTAGACACTGCCACAAAACGTTGCGGTCGACATAGTCTTAAGCAGGTCAAGATATATGGCGAGTTTCGACCACCGGTAGGTATGCCAGTGTTCCAGAATCTGTCAGAGAGTGGGTATATGGTCCTCTGTCTGAGACCTGCCTGGTTTTCTCAAGTTTGCTGTTTTCCACCTCGAGTTATATGTTGGATAACTATGGACCCAATATTAGTCAAACTAATTCACAAGAAGGTTTCCTCCTTTAAAATCAGGGATGATCAGTGAAGTAGACCGGTCTTATAGGGCTGCCTCTGATTCCTATACACTACTTGATACATCCGTCACTTGTCTCAGTAATTTCCTACCTCCATCCTTGAAAACTTCAGGTGACAGACCTCGTCGAACGACTAACATTTACGTCCCACTTAGATCTAGACTGTGTTAGTCAACTGAAAAGTTGCTGAGGACCAGTTGAACTATGCTTCAAAGTATTCTGCTTGTCCTGAGAGGTTATCAGCGTCCTATCTTTTTCAGTGATGATTTCACTCACCATCGTTTTTTGCTTGCTGGTATCCTTAATAAGTCTAAATACTTGCCGGGTTATCCAACGCTGACGTCTCCATCTCTCTCGCGATCGTCGCGAAGACTTGTTCAACTTACGTTCAAGTTGCTTTCGCCCTTCGTCATGGTCTGAACTAGCTGGAATCAATTCCCTCTCGTAAATTAGTCCGGATGACGTCGTGGAAATTCAATGGCGTTGATTATCCTTTCGGTGTAGGTTGACCTCTGTTTCTACAGCATACTTTATGTAACGCCAGGTTTCCTCAGGATGAGCACTACTGTCATATTCAGACAAATGCCTATCTACCTCTTCCCTAAATGTGGACTTGATATTCTCATCTTCCAATCAACTTTAGACAGGCCCTACTGCCCCTTGTTTACTGTGACCAGTAAGGCGCAGACATACACAAGGCCATAGTAGCGCGGTATTGGAATGGATGGCTTATTGCAATGTGATCTATTTGTGTCTATCGTTTGCTTCATGTCGGCGAATACCACATGAGACAGTGCCCCTCCTTATGCCTTAATTTAGTGCTGACCAGAAACAAGTGGTTGTCGGGGTGGAATTGCAAAAGACGATCACCATTGTCGGTTCGTTGGCATGGGATTCCGTAGATACCTTTGAGATGCCTTTCCGGTTGGTTCAGCTTCCTTACTTGAGCATCAAAGTCACCTGACACTATGACTACATCTGAACGTTTTGCTTTCTGTAGCGAAATTGACAGCTTTTCATAGAATTCATCCTTTTCATCATCCGAACTGCAGTTGTTGGGTGTGTATGCGGAGATTACAAATAAGCATCGCATAGTCTCACAGTCCTTCCTAGTTCTTATAGATCCATTCAGTCGAACAGTACATAGATAGCTGTTTACTGGTATCCACTTGCGGAGCGCAGTTTTTGCTCTAAGACAAAATGCTATGCTTACACCTGCGAGTCCACTAGAGTCTCCGGATACTCGTAAGGTGAATTTTGAAGATTCATGACTGGCCAAGTGAGGTCAATTTAATAAGCATACTCGGGTCCTGTATACGTGTCTCAGAGATACAGGATACGACCATAGCTAGAGATTCCAGAGTTCTGGCGAGCGATACTTGCAGTATAGTTAGGCGTAGAGTTTGGACGTTGAAAGCTGCTACATAAAATCGATAGCGGGGTTCTCGGAGACTGGGAATAAGATTTCGATGATGTTGATCGCTGGCAATGGTTGTAGAATGAGAAGTTGGGTAGGGTGTAACAGGCCTAATATTAGTATCAGGAGGTGATGACAAAGGAGGAGACAGAGTTGAGGAGGACAAGTTATGCGCGATTGGGTCGTGTGTACTACTGGAATTGTCCAGGTGTGTGGTCGACACTTCCTGGCTGCCAACATTGTGACATGCTATTCTTCTTGAAAAAGATTTGTGTGATCGCCTGTTGAGTGAAACAATATTAATCCCGTTTATGGCTTTGGGTAAAATAATCAAAATATGATTGACATTTGATGCTCGTAGGGTTTTGAGATGATAGGGAATGTATGTAGCTTAGTAGGATCACTTTGGTAGTGTTGTGTACTCTGAGGCACACTGTTTAATCGTTGAACTTCCATTGTCATTCTAGACATCATCATCAGCAAAAATCTCAGGAAGTAGTGAACAATAAGGTTTCTTCCACAATTTATTTCATAGCCTGTTGCGATGACCTTGTGTGTGATTAGTCGTTTCTACCAAGGTCTTGTCATTCTCCCCACGTTTATTTTGATTGGCTGGTAGACTGGGCCAATGGTAATATGTCTCTTCATTACTGACTGACCTGAATACCAGCTAGGATTTTCCCATTTCCCCAGTCAAATTCATGTCCATAGTTGTCTGTATGCATTGAGCGAAGATGTTCATATAGACAGATATGAAGATGGCGACCACTCTGTTCTATGTAGTTTTTCCAGCAGTTTCTGTAGTTTATTTTGTAAATAATATTTTGTCTGCCTCCCTTTGCTTATGTATCTTTCCGCCGTCATAACAGATTTTGTTGGCTTGCGTGATACAGCGATTCCAAGTGGCTTCAATAATCTAGCTGTGTTCTGTGAGACGGTTTTTCTAGTTTTCCAGGTTGACTTGTTGGTTGATGACAAGTTATGTAAACATCGTTTTGATGAATTTGCGTGGATAGCCGTTTTTCTGGAAAACAGTCATTAAATAGGTTCCCTCTTTACTTTCCAGGGTTTATATACTGCGGTGTGTTTTCGCTCTTTTGAACAATGGTTTTTATTCAACTGACATTGTATGCTGTTGGGTTGTTACCACCGTAATCGAGGATTTGATCGATACTCAGTGAAGCGTTACATTAAATCAATGCATACATACAACTGTGGACATGAATTTGAATGGGGAAATGGGAAAACCCTAGCTGCATAGAGGAAATACGAAGAGAATTTTTCAAATCTTGGTATTCAGGTCAGTCAGTAATGAAGAGACATATTACCATTGGCCCAGTCTACCAGCCAATCAAAATAAACGTGGGGAGAATGACAAGACCTTGGTAGAAACGACTAATCACACACAAGGTCATCGCAACAGGCTATGAAATAAATTGTGGAAGAAACCTTATTGTTCACTACTTCCTGAGATTTTTGCTGATGATGATGTCTAGAATGACAATGGAAGTTCAACGATTAAATAATGTAGCGTGGGGAACATAACACCAGAATCTGATCCTATGGGAAAACTGAGAGAGGGGAAGAAGAAATGATGAAGACACAATGATAAGATTTGAAGTGAACATGTCATTTATGGAAGGCTTGACTGATGACCTAACTGCTGGAAAGGTACTCTCTGTAAGAAATACGTTGAGAGTGTATGAAGATGTGATATGTTTGCTAGAAAGACTTAACCCCATACGCTTAGTGCTGTTCTTGGACATACTTATGAATCGTAGGAAGAACGTTTGA